CCGTTCTCGAGTTTTAACGAGACTAACGAACAGCAATTCATTTTTATATATGCCTATAGATAGATATAGATAGAATGTAGTCGAATTCAATTATATTTGCATCGTTCCGCCATCTTCAGACATCAAACAAATAAATTCTGTGTTTAAAAAAAGGCAAAAACTCTTCATAATATAATCCTTTTTTCAATAAATAGACATAATATGAAGTCATCGTGGCCTAAAGGATAAGACGTCCGGTGCTTTCGTGAAGGAATAACATCGTGTAATAAAAATCAAAGCCGCAAAATTATAATTTGCGTGATTACTGGTGGTAGGACCTCTTGTGTGTCCGCGCGGGTAGGTGCCACCGCCCTGCCTATTTCTGCCGTGAAGCAGTGGTGCGTTTCGGTTTGAAGGGTGTGGCAGCCGTTGTAATTGTGCTGAGACCTAAGAACTTATATCTAAGGGTGTGTGGCACATTTACGTTGTGGATGTCTATGGGTTCCAGTAACCACTTAGCACCAGGTGGGCTGTGAGCTCGTCCACATATCTAGGCAATAAAAAAAAAATATATATATTTCGGCGTTTTAGTTATTTTTGATGAGAGCTGTAAATGATTTAATAGTGAACTTCTCTACATCACTTTAGACATGACTGCAATCACTGCTACTGCCAAGAGGACCTGTCCCTCAGATGCACACAGAGGACTTGCTTGAACTACAGCGAGTCAAAAGCTTTGGAGGAGTTAAGACTGCGCCTCATCCAGGAGGGTCTTTAACGGAAAGTGCATTGGGAACTCGGATGCAAAATACGGACCGAGGATACGAATCGTCTTGTCCAATTAAGAATTACAATGAATAATCCTTTTTGATTTTGTTTTTTTTTTTAATTGATAACATCTTATAAATCGAAGAACACCGGCTGCACGCACGAAAAAGTGTCACGTTCCGCCTGAGCTTGAGCGTGCAAGCGAGAGCGCGGAACAAACGATAGAGAGGCACGATCGGCCCAAGCGTTGGCTTGTGACACATTTATCTCTCTTCTCGCGTGACGTCAGAGCTAGCAGTTCGAATAGTTCTGCTACTGACGTTATCACGTAAAACAATCGTCCGTAAACCGACTTTACAGACAACTATTTATTTATTTTTTATTATCGCTGAGAAGATCCGGCGAGAAACTCAGTGGTCTATCTCACACTTCACGGTAGAGCGTACGATTAATGTTCGGCAGAAATAGTGGAAGAGATTTTTGGTACCCATCCGTGTGGCCTCCCTACACCATTAATACAATTAGGAGGGCTAATTAGGAGAAAATAGCGCCTCCATGGAAGGTTCAAGGGAACATTATACCAGTTGCTAGAGGTAATTCAAATGAACAGCTAGAAATACAGGTAGTTTTCCAATTACAGAGCATAATGCGACTCAGTGACGCATAATGCCGAATTATGCTGAAGCTTAATTGGAACGTGAATTAGTTTTCAAATGCATCAGCAGAGTGCGCTAAGTTAGCACAGTTTTAATTAACATTGATTATTTCTAAGAAACTACGACGAAACGAAAGCCTTACAATTTTTTTCAACATTAAATAATGTTACTAACGATAATATAAACAAAATTTCAATCAATGCCAACTTAAAGAAAAAACACACTTGTCAATTTTCTGTCACCGAGTCGGTATCGATTGCGAGCATCACGCGAGAGCAGTACTTTTCACATTCCGATAGAGGCACCCGTCACGCGCGGACGTGCTCATCGACCACTCGATCGCCCGGCCTTTGTTCGCCCGGCTTTTGTTAGCCCGGCCATTGTTCGCGCGGCCTGTGTTCGTGGTACATCTGCCGACTAAGTGCTCTTCCTGGAAGTTTTTATTTGTTTTGTTTCCTTTTGTTATTTCTGTGTTCGTGGTANACTCGTCGAACTCGACAAAGAGTTCGCCGTGCAACCTAACCCATGAATCAGCTCGCTGAGTTTCTCGCCGGATCTTCTCAGCGGGTCGCGATTCCGATCCGGTAGTAGATTCATTCGCGAAGCAGCTGCTCTTGAGCTGTTAGGTCTCCTTCGGAGGCGCTCGGGTAGCTGTTAGCAAATCCCACCCCTCCTGGCTGAGCCTTTGCTCACCCACCTGTCCTGGTGAAACTGGAAAGGCCTCCGGGCCACCAGTAATCCTTCAATCATAAAAAAAAAAAAAAAAAAAAAAGCAGTACTTTTGAGAGTGCTCGATTGTGCGAAGCGTTGCTGTAGTTGGAACATTCAACGTTGAGCATTATGCCGCATAATGCGCTCTTGTGCTGTAATTGGAAAACTACCACAATCAGCATAGCGTTTTCTTCTGTCAAATAGTAAATGTCGAAGTTTCAATTGTGTCAAGTAAAGGCTTATTCTATCTGACGTTTACGTGAAGATGACAGAGATTGGGAAGCTTGGTGCGGGTACCGCTTTCCTACCCATTTCTATTTCAAGGAAATATCAGCATCAATAGATATATATACAATACAATTAAGATTTCAGTTTCACCTTATTTCCACTCACATTCTTGTTTCATTACCACATTACGCATGCGTTACGAAGGTTTATTGTTTTCTCCGAAGAAATATTTTGTTTCATTTGAAGTCGTTTATAAATTGTATTTTCGGATGGCTTAACAACGCCATCTGCTGAAAAAGCTTTAGTGTTATTGTGTCTTTAAATAGTATTATTATTCGCCAATAGATATCGGGAAGAGTCATAAAGTTTGATTATCGATAAAGTTGATTATTGAAAACACGAATAAAACAACATTTTCTGAAAATAAATCGTAGTTAGATCGATTTATCGCCCCGAAATCCCCCGTATACTAAATTTTATAAAAATCGTTGGAGCCCTTTCCGAGATTCAGATTATATATATACAAGAATTGCTCGTTTAAAGGTATAAGATAAGATTAAGGTAATTTTGAATGGGAATTTATTATAGGGCCCACAGAAATCTCTGTTCAATGTCTATAGAAATGGAGAATTGGAAAACGAATTAAAATTTCACTGACTTCACGTTCCGAATCGTAAAGTTAATTTTAATCTACAATAATGTCGTAAAACACGTGTTTATAATTGTTTGTCCGCAAACATATTATTCATGGCTGTCGTAATACTCATAGTTTTTGCTCAAATTCATTTTATTTTCGCTGATTTACGTAAGTACAAGGACAATAAATAGCATGTAAATATATTTTGATCATGTAAATATAGTTGATAGTTCTATTGACTTGAAACTTTGTACAATTCTTGTTCTTTAATCAGACTTCAGGGAGGTATTTTGGCTAAGGCGTCTTTATTTCATATAGCATCCGTGTCCAATAATTACCCTGGCGCCATCTAGTAACCGGGCGGCTAAAATGAAATAGATAGAAATGTGACAGGTTCATTGAAATATTGCCCACTGAGTTTCTCGCCGGATCTTGTCAGTGGGTCGCGATTCCGATCCGGTGCACTGCTCGTGCTAGGGCTAGTGTTAGCAAATTCTCTCAGGTTGAGTCCGTGAGCTCACCTAACCATCCGAGCGTAGCTGGAATAGCCTCTTAGGCTACTAGTTAATAGGCAGGGAACAAAAATCAAAGAAAAAAAACTATAAACCTAAAATTGAAAGAGCAGAGCCGGTCACTGGTGGTTGGACCTCTTGGGAGTCCGCACGGGTAGGTACCACCACCCCGCCTATTTTCGCCGTGTAGCAGAAATGCGTTTCGGTTCGAAGGGTGGGGTAGCCGTTGTAACTATACTGAGATCTTAGAACTTATATCTCGGGGTGGGTGGTGCATTTACGTTGTAGATGTCTATGGGCTCCAGTAACCACTTAACACCAGGTGGGCTGTGAGCTCGTCCATCCATCTAAGCAATAAAAAATAAATAAAAAGAAGCAAAGGCCGACCACTCCAACATCCCTATGCCGCCTTTGATTTCTGGTATAATGCATCGTCTTACGATGTACACATATTATCCTACAGGTGGGTAGTTTCAACAAATATAGGTATATATTATGATTAAAATTACATTTGCGTATTGATCCCTGTCAATATTTAATTTTAAGTATTTTATTGCTACGTCACTATAGAATGATGTTTTTTTTTCACTGACAGAACAAATCGTATCTTGAGATGTTCAGTATCATTAATATATTATGTAGATTAATAACAAAAACATGCGTCAACAGCATACCGAAGTAACGGTTAATTACATTATTTTGCCTCGTTGACACCAGTCAGGATATTAGAGCGAAGTAATAAAATTATTGTATTGTCATCGGTCCTTGATGCCTGTGTAATTTTCAAGTTATCTCGAAGTGAAAATGACATTCAAAGATTCCGTTACCAAAATAATATGTGAAAATCATCTTGACCGTTTGTGGTGAGCCCAAGAAAATTTCGAACACGAGAATGAACCATAAAAGTAGTGAAAAAATTATTTTTACCCTATTTATTATTATATTTATAATTAATTATTGTTTTAGGCAGACGAGCATAGGGCTCACAGGATGGTGAGTGGTTATCGTCGCCCATGTACTTCAGCAATACCAGGGTCACAGTTTAGCCGCTGCCTATCGTTAACTACTCTCCACAAGCCTCGTTTGAATAAGGAAGTATTAAATACTGAATGGGTTCTATTACTAAGTAATTTATCCATGACCCAAAATTCGTATTTAGGTGAGTGCCCACCCAATAATTGGGTCCTGCTAAACGACCGACTCTGCCACTGTAATCAAAACGGATTCTGGAGTGACCAAAGATGTAGGTCAACTGAACGACAATGCTCACCGGGTCAAGTGATTTATTTAAATAGAACCAGATGCACTTGTCAAAAGAACGGATTACTTTCGTGCATTAACAACAAGAATAGCCGGCTAATAGGACATTTGGAAAGCAAAACAGGTGTCAACTGTGTCCCCTATTCGACTTTTTATTACGAATGTAATATTTGCTTGTGCCCGAAAACCGGCAGATCCTTAGAGGCACGTTGCGTTGCTAACAGATCGTGCTTGATTAAAAAACTCGGAATGAATTCAAAGCTATCCTCCGATTTCGATTCAAACAACTGTGTTCCTAACAGCATCCACAAATATCAATGTATCACGTGCCGTTGTACAGAAAATGGTTATTTTTTAACACAAAGCTGCGTTAATTCCTGTAGCCGTACTCGGAGAATAAACATTTTTAAATGTATCCCGGGAAAGCTCTATAAAAATCAATGCAATATCTGTTATTGTCCGGAAAACAGCGAACGAAATGAAAATCTGTGCACTAAATCTATTTGTAACAGTTACGATAATACCCAACCTCTGGATGTGTTAAGGACGAATACAGCAAAATGCGAACCACTACGTTTCACCGAGCCAAGGTGCTTATACTGTGAATACAATTCAAAAGGGATTAATACCTCTACATGCTTTGAGCAGAAATGCGTCAACATCGAAGACATGGAAGATAATTCAGAAAGTCATACTGTTGAGCAAATAGCAATTATTTGTTCGCAATGTTTCTGCCCAAGAAACGGATATATCAACGAAAGGTATTGCACTAAAAATTGCTCATCGAAAACCAGACGCATTATGTTCGAAAAGTTTTTAAGAGATGACAATCACGCAGTCGTTCAAGTCTTTAACCAACAAAAAGGCTCTTCGATGGAAACATGTCGATCCAATTATTTTTATCGCGACCAAAATCAGACCTGTTTGTGTCCAGATAATGGAAAAATTAATAAAGAATTATGCTTATTTATTACAGAGCAGACGAAAGAAAACGATACAAATGCTACCGGACCAGGTACGAAAACCGGTGAAATCGATTTTGATATTAACTGCGAATCGAATACGTTCATCACTTATGATTGTAACATATGCTACTGCAACAAAACGGGGAAGCTGGACCCGAAATGGTGTACATACGATGATTGCGAAACAAAAAAAAACTTACAGGAATCCCAGAAAACGAAACCAGCACATTTAGAACCAAACGATTATAGCTGCAACAAAAGCGGTAACTTAAGTCTGGAATCGTGTACAACCCACAATGGCTCTAACATAACAACTGCTCAAGATTTCGGTGTTCACGACCCGTCATTGCCTTCACCGAACGCAACCTGTGAGCCTGGTAGCCTAACAAAAGTGAGATGCAACTTGTGCATTTGTCCGAAGAGTGGGCTAGAAATGGATCGGGTCTGCACAAACAATAATTGCTCGGAAAACGTCGACGAAACCGCAAAAGCGAATAACTATGATGAAATACATTGTGAACCGCTCGCTTACTACACGGTCGATTGTAACGTTTGTTTTTGCCCTAAAGAGGGTATAAAGAACTTGGCTAAATGCACGAATAACATATGCGAGAAACGCTACCTTCGATCTTCAAGCTGCAATCCAGGGGAGCTGTTTAGTGAGAGCTGCAATATATGCATATGCCCAAGAAATGGTGATTTGCTTGGACGAGTCTGTACGGATCGAGATTGTAATGATCATGTGGCCCGATCGATGCTGTTCCAACTGTCCCAGGGTTTGTTACCGGAACTCAATGAGACCCACTCCTTGGATATCTGCTTCCCGGGCGAAGAGTTCGTTGTGGGTTGCAATTTGTGCGTGTGTCCCGATATGGGATTGAGGGCTTATTCGATTTGCACGCCGATGTTTTGTGATGAGAGGAATCATGCTATTCAGGTATCTTCTACTTTTAACTGTTCTATAAGTAAAACAAAGTTGTCGCTTGAATAATCACTATTAAATTGTGAATTAAACGGTACTCTATAAGTTTTACACAATTTGTCTCATAAGAAATGGTAAGAATTATTACTTGTTGAAGGGTTACCAGGACTCCATATGCAAATTGCTCTCATAAAGCAATAATAAATGATGAACATGCAAAATTCACTTTAAAATGTATCCTGCAATCAATTTTAGACGTAATATGAACCATTAAAATAGCTGTACCAATTCTTTTAGGAACCGTTCTCACTGGATAGTTCTGTGGTAATTAAAAGAGAGCGCCGGGACGCAGACAACGCATGTATCACCTATAATATAACAAATACAGCCGAAAGGACATATTGCACACCAGGAACTATGTACTATATTAGGTAAATGTTTGCTGACACGGAAATCACGAGCAAATATGTATTTAGAATCATTTGTAGCGTAAAGTTAAGACGCCTTGTGTTTTTGTATCTAGCGATTCGATTTTACTGGCCTTTAAATCCCGCAGGTAGGTAAAAAAAAGTTCACCGAATCGACGACTCGTCTTTTTTTTTGTTTCCCTTGTAGGCAGACGAGTATACGACCCACCTGATGGTGAGTGGTTACCATCGTCCATGGATTTCAGCAATGCCAGGGGCAGAGCCAAGCCGATGCCTACCGCAAGGATCGAGGATCAGGCGAGGATCGAACATCGGGCGAGTGTACGGGGGAGTCGTATGGTAGGCGTAATTACTGGTGGTAGGACTTCTTGTGAGTCCGCGCGGGTATGTACCACCACCCTGCCTATTTCTACCGTGAAGCAGTAATGCGTTTCGGTTTGAAGGGTGGGGCAGCCGTTGTAACTATACTTAAGACCTTATATCTCAGGGCGGGTGGCGCATTTGCGTTGTAGATGTGTATGTGCTCCAGTAACCACTTAACACCAGGTGGGCTGTGAGTTCGTCTACCAATCAAAGCGACAACAAAAAAAAAGGCCCCTACCATCTTCATCACGGAAACCCACATAACCTGCGAGCCCCCTAGATGCAGGAATCTTCTAGGAAGTTCAACCTCCAGGCAAAAAAAAAGCTACTCATCTGTCTAAAGAAATACGTACTTAACACGTAATCACGACGTTAAAGGAATAACATCATGTATCAAAAACCAGACCCATCAAATTAATAGATGTAACTATTAGTAGCAGGGCGTGTGATGGCCACACAGGGTACCTACCACAGGTATATATTTCTGCCGAAATCAATCATAATTTCCGTTTTGAGGGGCTGGACAGTCATAAATCTATACATTTGTGGAGGACTCTTGAGGCAGATGCACTTACTTTATGGTGTATATGAACTGTGATCACCACAGATGCGCCGGAAGCTTACATCAAGCACGATCTATTTACACAAATAAAGTTCAATTTCTGTTTGTATGTAGTCCTCTGCGCGTTTCCAAGCTATACATCTGATTGTCATGGAACTTAGTAGAGTTATTGACATTTTGATGTCATAGTATCAGCCCTGTACAACAGATGACGCTCAAGTGTTTTTAATAACGATATTCATCGACAGATGTCGCCAGTGCTATTGTCCGTATTTGGGGAACATCAATAACTTTTGTCGGCCTTTGCCTAAGAATTTTCATTGCGAACAAGCGTATCCGAACTTTAATTATTTACCTATGGGAAGGAGACATGATGTCGGTAAGGTGTTATTGTAATAATTTCACTTAAAAACAATAGTATACATGGTCAATTATTCTTCGGAGGCATATTGTGAGAGAGCACATGTAGATACCATCCGAATTATTTCTGAATTAAGTAATAATACTGGTGGTAAGACCTTTTGTGAGTCCGCGCAGGTAGGTACCACCACCCTGCCTATTTCTGCCGTGAAGCAGTAATGCGTTTCGGTATGAAGGGCGGGGCAGCCGTTGTAAGTATACTGAGACCTCACAACTGATATCTCAAGGTGGGTGGCACATTTACGTCGTAGATGTCTGTGGGCTCCATTAACCACTTAACACCAGGTGGGCTGTGAGCTGGTCCACGCATCTATGCAATAAAAAACAATAAAAAAAAAGCTTAGGGCGGCATCAAACCTAAATACATCACTGGTCCAATAGCAACCGGACTCAAAAAAGGTCCTACCACCAGTAGCCCTGTTTATTGCGCAGCCCTAAATGTTAGAATACATTTTATTAACTTTTTTAAATTTCAATTTAATATAAATTTATAATGTTTTTTTTATAAAAAAGAATTTGTACTCATTTTCAAAGGAGCCTGTCTTTTTTGGCTCTGAAATTATGGCATTTCAAAAATTTTACCGCCCCTCATATCATGTCACCCTAGGTCTGGATCGCACGGACCTGGGCGTAAACGCATCACTGGACGCTTCAAAATCGTTTCCAGAAACTTCCACGAGTAACATAACGGTAACCATAAGGCACGAGCACACGATGTACCGATGCGACGAGAACGACACGATATCGGACGAGTGTTACGTATGTGAATGCAAAGACGCGGTCATTATAAGGGAGCACTGCTTCAAGAGTGACGCGGATAAATGCACGGACGCCCTACCCACGTTTTTGAAATTAACAAATAAAATCACATGAATACGTATTTTTAATGCATTTTTATTTAGCTTCACCTGTGTAATGACCTCATTCGCGATCAAGATTCTTCTTCTTCTCCATCGCTCCCTCGTTACTGAGGATCGTGGCTCCTCCATCCTCCACGCCAGCCTCCATCGGTCAGTTGCCTGGTGTAGAGCAGCGCTAAGTGGTCCGTTGGTTTGCTCGGAGATCTGGTCGGACCAACGTTTGGGGCTCTGGCCTCTAGGACGTTTTCCTTTTATTTTTCCAGTGACGATCAGACGTTCCAAGTTGTCTACACCTCGCGGACAACGTGGCCAAAGTAGCGCATTATGCGTTGCAGGCAGGCGTTGAGCGTTCTCCGTTTAGAAGTCGTCGTGGCCTAACGGATTAGACGTCCGGTGCATTCGTGTTGAGCGATGCACCGGTGTTCGAATCTCAGGCGGGGTACCAATTTTTCTAATGAAATACGTACTCAACAAATGTTCAGGATTGATTTCCACGGTGAAGGACTAACATCGTGTAATAAAAATGAAACCTGCAAAATTATAATTTGCGTAAATTGTTGGTAGTAGGACCTCTTGTGAGTCCGCACGGGTAGGTACCACCGCCCTGCCTATTTTTGCCATGAAGCAGTAATGCGTTTCGGTTTAAAGGGTGGGGCAGCCGTTGTAACTATACCTTAGAACTTATATCTCAAGGTGGGTGGCGCATTTACGTTGTAGTTGTCTATGGGCTCCAGTAACCACTTAACATCAGGTGGGCTGTGAGCTCGTCCACACATCTGAGCAATAAAAAAAAATACAGACACAAAATGCATCCTTACTTGAACTATATAGAACATGGTCTATCAGTAGTCAAACTAGTCAAGTTAAAGTAATTTGCCTTAATAACTTGAACAACGCCACCCGCAAATGCATAATTCAATATTAATATCATATTCATTAATGAAACACGCAAGCTAATCACCATAAAAACGGACCCAAAACAGAAGCAATTAAACAATTTTTATCGTGTAATTAAAATGTTTGATTCTCTAATTATGATTTGCGGCAGTTCTGTAAATGAGATTGAGTTAACAAAATGTTTTTTTTTAATTCATTATTGACGTGGCTAATGTTTTTGCAGAATTATGTTTGCGCAAAGGAAATGTTTACAAAGAGTTAGTACATTCAATTATTTTGTCAGTTTTCACGAGCCGTTTGATTTTTTATTCCCATTCCGAAAATAGTTATAAATCGCTTAAATCGATATTTGATTTTATATTTTTTTATGACTCGTATTTAATTTGGTCTCGATTCTGTGTGAATCCAAAATACAGACCAATGCTATAAGTGGTTTATGCTGTGGTCAACATTTAAAAAAAATATATACAGAAAATGCAATTAAACTTCATATAATTCAATTAAATTTAAGAATTAAAATTTTTTTTAGCTAAATCTTTAATGGTTCTTTAATTCACTTTAGTAATCGAAATGTAATTAATTCAATAGCTGTTTACAAATCCTCTAGACTCTCGTACGTTTTACAAAATTCTATTCGTGTGAGATTTGTTTGTATTTTTCTGTTTTTTTTTTGTCACTTGGAACCTTAATTTTAGAGATTAAAGATTTTTAATGTAAAATAAGTGTTATAACCTTCCTAATCGACTTCCTATGTCAGATGTACATTTATGTTCATCTAATTACAGTTTTATTTCATTACATTTATTTCTTGGGACATTAACATCACTCACAGTAAAATAAACTAACAATATACACGCTAATCAAATTTACAAGCAACCATCGAAGACACGCACGAATTAATTAATTAATCTTTTATTTATTTCAGACTTCTATGATTTTGATTTAGCCGAAAGTAAAAAGATTTGCACGCCGGGCGTTGTCTACACGAGAGGTAAAACTACATGCATCTGTAACGATCAGGGCAAATGGTCTCATTTCAAATGCAATAATATAATCTTTATGAATAGCTTAGAGCATAGTTCAGAACCAAAATCCAGACACAGCGCTTGCGTGCCAAACTCATACGCAATAATCGATTGTAATATATGTTATTGTAATTCAAACGGAGAAATAGACGAGGAACGCTGCACCAGAAATATATGTGACCCGCGAGAAGTTTCTAGAAGAAGTTCAAAGACTTACGATGAATGCGAAAAAGGCACATGGTATTCGATAGCTCCTTGCCAGTTCTGTTATTGTGTGAACAAAAATAAATTGCTGTGCAACTCAAGGAATCATTTCACGAAAACGATAAACATAGGTGATCACGTTTTGCGTGATTGTGGCAAAGATTTCCTTCAAGACGCATTAGTCTTACTAAATGATAAAAAGCTAAAAGCAAATAACGAAGAATCGAAGCCAGCAGATACAAATATTAATGTCGTGGAAACTCCAGACGATGGCCCTTTAAATGATATTGATGAGAATAAATACGAACGTAACGATTTTGGAAATACATTAGAAAATAAAGAAATCTCTAATATAAATAGTAATACAAAAAATATAGATATCGGAGTGGCGTCTTTCGAAAACGCTGATCACTATAAATATATGACAGATCTAAATGCTGATGCTAACGAATTAAAAAAGAAGGATATTAAACATAAATCAAAAAAATATAAGCAGGAGGAGCCGTTTTTGAACCTAAAAAAGGATTTGGGTAAGACATTGAAACAGAAAATACCAAGGATACTAGATGAGGTCCTGAAAATGGCGTTTAGGAGAAACTCGCTGTCGATACGATCAGATCCTGACTGTGAGCCAGGCACACAGAAGTATATAGACTGCAATAAATGTATGTGCTTAAAAAACGGAAAGCTGCTGTGCTCAAAGATGAAATGCGAATGAAACTTAATATTTCATAGCTTTTGCTACTCTTAAATTTTGTAACCAAATAAACAGATTTTATTCGAATACATGAGATTTTTTTTTACCAATAACATATTCAATAGTGACATAAAACAAAACGTTAAGTAATATCCAGATTTAAGAAAATGTTTGTAGTATCGAGCTTAAAAATAAAAGAGACGCGCTTAATCGCAAACCGAACTAGCAATTATTTTTTATCCTGTTGATGCCTGTCAGGATGAGCGAAGTTAAATTATTGTGTCCAGACTAAGCAAGTTAATCGATCGTTTTGAAATCGGTAAAAAGGATATTCGAAGAATTAGTTGTAGTGGACTGTATGATTAGGATGGGCAAGGAGCTTGATAAATAAACTCGCGAGGTTTGCACTTATAAAATTTGTATATTTTTACAATTTTATAAATCGCGTACAATAGCACGGATGAAAAGAGAATGACAGAACTAAGACCATAGATTATACACTTAATATTAAGACATTTCAAAATTCAAATTCAAATTTAATGTCAAAAGCCACCACAGCCACAACAATAAAAAAGGTTTCATACCAATTTGTTGGGTTTCCAACATTAGTTACATACAAATATATCAACCTAACACAATAATAGCATTTTAAAATGAACTTAAATATATGGTCGAGTTCACGGTCCACATGATGACAATTGGTTACGAGAAATCATTACAATTTGATAACGCCACTATTTTAAAGACTTGAAAACGAAGTCTCAGGGGTATTGCATAAAAATTACTCCAACATTAAAACCGGTAGATATGGTCAAAACAGTATTCACGCAAATCTAGAAAATTTACGGCTTTGATTTTTATTAAACAAAATGACCACATGCATATGCACTTCTCTTGACACAAGTACACTAGGTATCTTTATTTTAAAAATGCTCACGATAAGTCGTGGTAAGCCTAAGATTAAATGGATATGTACCGAAAGATGTCTCAAGGTGAATGTCCCCTAAAAAAAAGCGGTAGGCAGCGGCTTGGCTCTGTCCCTGGCATTGCTGAAGTCCATGGGCGACGGTAACCACTCACCATCAGGTGGGCCGTATGCTCGTCTGCCTACATGGGAAATAAAAAAAAAATTAGGTTAAGGTTTGAACCTTAACCTCGTTTTTGAATCAGGATGAAAAAAATAAAAAATAAATGTGTTATCATGTTTGCGGTACCTGAATGCCCTAACAGAAGTAATTACGCAATTTTTTAGTTTTTCGCTAATGTAATTCGTCCTAAAATCTGTAATAACAAAATTTTCTTCTTTATATTCCAGTAAAAATACATTTGTGGTCGACAAATACACCTTATTACGCTACCAAAAGCATTTCTAGTGTAAATCCCAGACCTCCTCGACATAGGGCAGACTAGCATGAAAGATTTACTTAAAAAATATATTCACTAAACTAAACAACAAGTCGTCTGTGTACTTTGGTCGTTGTTGGTAATCTTGTGGTGCACAATCATGAAACTAAGCACGTAAGGCTTTTGATTAATGAATCTCGTTAAACCAAGAGAAAACGGAAAATTATTGAGGAAAATCAATTACAACTACTGATAATGTTCGCGGAACATGAGCACGCTAATGTAATTGAAAAACCTTAGTGATTATACTGAAGACGGCTGACAATGAAATCAAGAATTTTCCTGTTGATTCTCGAGGCGACAGCTGTGTTTATGTATTCGTATAGAAAACGTGGGTATTCAGGAATTAATTTGTTTTTTTACTAACGCATTATTAACACACTTTTATTAGCTTGGCGTGTATGTCTATATCCATGCAACGGAATCTTTGACGGCCATTTTGCACCCGCATTTAGAACCGATGACAACAAAATCTATATCTATCACTTCCTATTACCCTCTGCTGGGGTGTAGGGCTCGAATCAAATTTTTCCATTTACATCGGTCTTAGGCAGTCTGCTCTAGCTCCTCCCACGTCATGCCCAAGACCCCTAGCTCCTGCTCCACCGAGCGACGCCAAGTTGTTCTATACTAATATATAAATCTACAGTGGCTTTGACGGATGTTCCGTTATAACTACTGAACCGTGCATCCGATTGAAACTTGGTACCCATGTAGAAAATACATGTAGGTACTTAATGGATAGGCTAATATTTATATGAGTGTTCGACTCCCTAAATCAGTTGCGAGGGCATTAATGATGAGAATCTTTGTGGGGATGAGAAATAATAATGTTAATTTTAAATGCCCAACGAAGCGGACAGGTACAGCTAGTAATGTTATAATTTCACTCTAATATCCTGACGGATATCAGCAGGTTAAAAAAAGATGGGTTTAATTGTTATTCTTTTTAATTTTTAAGCTAAGTATATTATAATTTTCTAGTTGTCAGTCTGAATAAATCTTTACCGGGGCATATTGTAAATGTCGTAATGCATTATCTCTTACCTTTGAAGCCAGCATCCATGACTGTTTCGTGTCAGAAATAGTCAAGACGTTGCACGGACTTAGTGATCTCTATATATAAAAATGAATTGCTGTTCGTTAGTCTCGCTAAAACTCTAGAACGGCTGAACCGAATTGACTAATGTTGGTCTTGAATTGCTTGTGGAAGTCCAGAGAAGGTTTAAAAGGTAAATATGAAAATTCTCGGAATTAAATAAAGTTTAGGTCTTTTATTTATCGATTGAGGCACTACGAAGTCTGCCGGGTCAGCAACTGGTGGTAGGACCTCTTGTGGTCTATTCGCTATGTGGTATAGAACTCTATGGGACACAGTCTGGTCGTAGGATGTGGTCTAAAATGCACTACTGTAGCACCACTCCTCTTTTCACGTGGGTGTCCTGAAATGATTCACTTCAATTAATTATTTTTTAATTCTTTATCTGCTATTCCATATCTACTTGGTTTTGTTAATTATGGAAACTCATTTGGCTTGCTGTTTGGATCTTAATACAAAGGGTAAATAACGCGTGATCAACTTTTTTTTTCCTACCTAAGCTGATAGCCCTGAGAGGCTATATCAGCGTCGCCTTAACTAGTAGGTGAGCTCGGGGGGCTCAAACCTGATGACGTTGCTAACACGAACCCTAGCAAGAGCCGTGCTTCGCAGAATCTACCACCGGATCGGAAACGCGACCTACTGAGAGATCCGGCGAGAAACTCAGTGGGCTGTGTCTGAGGGTTAATTTACTCGTCGAGCCCTTCGTCGTAAGCGACGGGTTCGACGAGGACGATGACCGCTGCTTGAGGTACCTATAAGCACCGTTAGTGGATCGGGAGGATTCGAAATGACGTGTTTGGGGCGACGTCGACTGCTTTCCATTCTGTCCGCAGGATCGGGAATGTGTGATCTTCGTTATAATGTATTTTAAGGGAAAGAACATTACTGAATTTAATATTTTAATATTTATATTATATATTATGCTTCTTCTTGGCAGACTTGACGCTGACAGATGATTATGATCACATTGGCGACCTGCCTATATATCTTAGCACCAAAAAAATATTTACAGGATGTAAATAAATGAAATGATGTATATATTGAATAAGTATAACATTTTACTATCGTAACGTTGAAAAATATATATTTTCCCGACAGCCATACCACAGACGCTATGGAGACAAAACTGCGCGAAGAATTCTCAGCTGCTAAACGACTGTAATTGGTGTAAATGCGAGAACAATAAGTATAGTTGTAAAGCCAGGGTTTGCAATGAAGTCGACATGTTCAAACATTTTAATGGTAAGGTTCTTTATGGATTAAATATCAGCTCAAGGCCTCCCGTAACTATTGATGACCGTGGCGAAGATAAATATGACCACTTGATCATTTTGACCCAATATTTCGTAGTATTCATTCTATTGTACAACTGGTCCTCGCTCTTAAGTCCGGAATGCTTTTCGCGGCAGAAATGGTCTGAGTGAAACACGACAGTAAGAGCGTATAGCCCTAACAACGGGAAACGCAGATAGGCGATAACAGTACCGTATTGTATTACTGCCCATTTTCTTTGGAATAGTTTGGTCGCTTTTCCTAAATTGTATTTTGATTTAATAAATAAAACACTTTCCCATGTACCAGAATCCTTAAGTTTCAATTCCTTCATATAAAGTACCTAACTCGTTTTTTTTTTCTTCCATGATAGAAGCAATTAATGACATCAATGTAGGTATGGAAGGTCACGGTGTCTGGCGTTCGGGCAACGTAGAATGCCAGCCTGGAGTACAATACAAAAGAGACGGATTGCTTTGTGTATGCGGCAAAAACGGAAAATGGCCAAGTCTCATATGCAAAAAGACCTTTCTACTCCTCGATTCAGTGGATACAGCTTTAGAAGAGGAACCGGACGATCAAGAGTGCGTTCCGGAAACTATCAGAATGTTTGGATGCCGAATGTGCTTCTGTGGTCCGTCCGGGAGAATCAATGCCACAAACTGTTATGACGATTTATGCGCCAAAGACTACGGTAGGAACGGCGATGATTCAAAAGATGTGATCAAGGAATTTTACGCGGAGTGCATACTCGGTAAAGTATACAGCATTGGCCTAAATACCTGTCAGTGTTTACGGAACAACAGACTCGTATGTAACCAACGCAACGAAAGGAGTCTGTGCAAAAACCGAAGATCGGGCGAGTCATTTTATGTTGACTGCAACCAATGTTATTGCGATGATATTAATCAAATGCACTGCACAGCGAAACGGTGTTTGAGTGCTCTAAGCGAGGAATCTCTCAAGGAGCGGTTCAGGGTGCCGACTGGAGAGTTTCCCTTCACGGAAACCCCAATTGACGACAGCGAATGCATACCGGGCACGCAATACATTAACGACTGTAACACTTGCAAGTGTTTCAATGACAGAAACATGAAAGTCCACAGTTGCACTGTCAACAAATGCTCCGAGAATGACTTTGGCACGGACTGCGTCGAAGGCACGACTTACGAGAAGAACTGCCATCACTGCTATTGCACCGTCATCGATGGGGTTAAGCAGGAAATTTGCGGGATCGACGACCACTGCACCAGATCGGATCAGATGAGGAAAACAGATCAGGCTGTATTGCACGGATACTGTGAGCCTCTACACGTTTATAAAAAGGATTGTAACGTGTGCAAATGTCAGAGCAACGGTCAGATTATGACTTGCACGACTAGAGTGTGCAATAGTTTGAGTGTAGATTTGGTACCGATCGCACACGAATTAGGCCGTTGTCGTACGGGCCATACTTACCGGATAGACTGTAATGTGTGCTATTGTTTATCGAATGGAAATATATTGTGTACGATGGCGGTTTGTAATGGTAAATAAATGTGAATGCTTTTTTTTTGTTTTTTTTCTTGGCACAGACTTATTGGATATAGCTGTACCCGTCCACTTCGCTGGGCATTTAAAATTAACATTATTATTTGTCACCCCCACAAACATTCTCATTATTAACGCCCTCACAATTGGTGTAGGGAGTCCAACACTCATATAAATATTAGCCTATCCATTAAGTACATGTATTTTCTACATGGATACCAAGTTTCAAGTCAATTGCATGCATGGTTCAGTAGTTATAACGGAACATCCGTAAAAACCACTGTAGATTTATATATGTTAGTATAGATTCTGCCTCGATGCATTTTATTTTGCGATTATATTTTGGGTGCTGTTACAATCACCATATTGGAAATTCGTAAATTGCGAGAGATGCCTATATCCAGCAGTGGACCACTGCGGGCTGACGATGCTGATGCTGATAATCACAACATAATCAAGGGAAGACGGAGGTACTTGAGCATAATTAAAATTAATTATATTTGTGGTTTAGGGGATTATGTGAAAGAAATAACATTGTAATTTTTAAGTTAGCTTTAATTTGATATCAACAAGTCGCTTTTCATAATTTATAAAGATTCGTCTTTTATGATCCTTAAACAAAATCATTACAATAAATCATTCATAAAATAGATTTAAAAAAAAACAATAATTAAAAAATATATTATACTATAATAACAGAACAAATAATAATTAAGATTATTATCTAGATATATAACGTTCGACATTTATAGCTATATCTACCGTGGAGAAGCCATGCCGTCTGGTTTCAAAGATTAAATGGATCCGCCGTCTTCTTTGAGACATGAGGTCGATTGTTTCGACTGCACTGTAATAAAGGCGATCGTAATCTCAAGCTTCTATTTCATCAACCTCAAACCTTTAAATCGACTTATTCATTTAGAAAAAAAAACTAAATTTTTTATTTAAAATTAATCAGTTTCCGTCCAACTATCGAAATTAAACCTTAATTACAGATAGATAAAGATTTAGTTTAATTTTATGCATTACATTTTGTCTTTTTGCTATTGTAGTTTCGAAAAAAGATTACATTTTCTTTTTAAATACTCCTCAAACTTGTCAATAGGTTACTAAACAAAATAGCGGGAAAAATGATTCTTTTATCTTTGCCTATTAATAATATAATTAATATACTGGGTGTTAGGAGACCGCTTCCGAAAACTAAGACAGATGATATAGTACTAATGACAACTTTGATGATGGGACGGAAAAAAATCGATCCTGATTTAAAAAAAACATATTTTTAAAACTTTTTTTATTATTGTTTAGATGGGTGGACGAGCTCACAGCCCACCTGGTGTTAAGTGGTTACTGGAGCCCATAGACATCTACAACGTAAATGCGCCACCCGCCTTGAGATACAAGTTCTAAGGTATAGTTACAACGGCTGCCCCATCCATCAAGCCGAAACGCATTACTGCTTCACGGCAGAAATAGGCGGGGTGGTGGCACCTACCCGTGCGGACTCACAAGAGGTCCTACCACTAGTGAATTATTAGCATTATTTACGCTCCATCATGTTGGGACAGCTAAATGAAACGATAGTTTCATAACCAATACATTAATTTACTTTAAAAAAACCAGCAATGAAACACTAAATCAAAAAAGGCAAAAGCGGTCTCCCAACACCTAAGTATAGATTTGAATTTGTGTAATTTGCAAGATAGATATGCTCTCCACGTCGAATTTAACGTCTAGATAAAACGTAAATAATTATTTAGAAAAGAAATTAGCACCAGCATTTAGCGTTCAAGCAAGTGTGTATAAAAGTTATTATGTATAAAACTATCTATTTTTAATATTTAGCTAAAATTTTCTAAATTTCCCCTATATGAAAACGGATAAGCACTATTTTCAAAAGATGCCATAACTTCTTTGGTATTCTAATTAGTCTACGGTATTCAATTTTTTTTTTCAAATTCTAACAAACAAGACATCCGATTGTAAATGAATTTAGGCTTTTATTGAAATTGCTATTGAATAGGTATTATTTATGTTTATATTTTAATAATTCATATAGCTTTTGTGCAAAAATATATATTTAAAAGTTAAAATATTAATAAATAATATTGTGTACTTTCTTTCTAAAGATTGTCTTTTGAAAAATGCATTTTACCTAACTAAACATAAAAAAAATTGTGCCTAGATTATTTTTTTTAGCAATTTATTTCGTTTTTTAAATGTTCCACCGAATGTTCCAGAAATTTATTCATAAAAAAAACTTTGTCTTGATATAAAAAGTACCAGGGTCCTATAACTCAAAAGAGTTGACACAGTAACTCTGTCACGTAATATAACTTCTTTTAAATACCAGGAGTACAGACAGGCAGACAGAGAGAGAGAGAAAGAGATTTTTTTGTTGTTCAGAAATTTAAATTCGAAATTAGAACGAACAGCTTAGTGAAGTGAAATTCCCAAAAGATGATGATAGCTTTTATATTTCAATATTAAGTTTTGCCGTTGTCCTGAGGCTGCATTATAACTTATGAAGATAATGTATAATATTTTTTTAGTAACAACGTAGCTACTATTATTTATTACAAAAACGATAAATTTTGTGGCGTTTTGAAAACAAACTACCAGGCTCACATAATTCCAAGGAGTTACGTCATCTACCAAAAAAATATCAGTTGTATTAATATACAAGAACAGCATGTAATTCAAAATTGAAAGAATGCTTTGCGATTTTCAAAATTAATCGTGGAACGTGATAGATCTAATTCCACAAAGTCGTAACTTCTTTTTTGTTGACATTATAAAAAGCAGCCTAGTGTTAAAGTCTACAAGTCATAATATACAAGAATAGAAACTCAAAATTGATAGAATGCGTTGTGATTTTCAAAATTAATCGTGGAACGTGACGGACCTAGTTCAACAAGGTCGTAACTTCTGTTGTGACATTATAAAAAACAGCCTAGTGATAAATTCTATAAAACTCACATTTGTTCTTCTGTAAACTGATACGTCCGACCTTATGGGTCTGTTAGAGCAATAATCATAAAAAAAATCTCAGCAAAGACCGCTTTGAATTAAAATATTAAAGTACCAGGAACGTATAAATTAAGAGAAGGTGTCGTTGACCTGCCTGCAGCACCGGATGAAGGTGGCTCTACGGGGTAATTCCCTGAGCCTTGCCGCTCCCACGTAAGTGCAGGCCGACCTGAGACCACCCAGAATATCCTTGACCGTTATCGCAACGTCACCTCGGTATTCCACTTCAACGGTTTTACCTGAAATTCGAAAATATATCAGACTAGCTGACCCGGCAGACTTCGTAGTGCCTCAATCGATAAATAAAATACCTAAACTTTTGTATAAAATAACTTAAAACAAACAAAAGGAATCCGTCCGACGGAGGACACATCAAAGGAAAAACAAAATTGTAATTTTTATTTCATTCCGAGCATTTTCATGTTTATCTACCTTTTAAACCATCTCTGAACTTCCACAAATAATTCAAAACCAAAATCGGTCCAGCCATTCTCGAGTTTTAGCAAGACTAACAAACAGCAATTCATTTTTATATAATAATATATTTGCTTATTTATTCATACCTAGCTTCATTTCGACAACAAAAAAGTGCATTTATGTAAGAGTGCTGAGTCAAAAAAGTTGAGAGCCGCTGGCTAATCTAACCTAGAACGAAACGGGCTCATGAAACGCGAGGACTTTTTGGCGGGAACGCGAGGAGTGAAGATATGTGATTTGTTTTGTTTTGTCTATTTAGTATTTCTTCAGGTTTAAATGTGTCATAACGGTGGTTTATTAACTGTTTAATATCTGTGAAATATGCACAAATGTGGGAAAATGAAACAAAGCCGCTGGACGTAACTTTTCCGGATTCTCCAAAAAGTCGACTTAAAAAATCTCTATAAAAGACCATCTTTATACTTAGATGATATTTCATCCGATATCATTTCATTTAATTTCAACTCAGTTAGTTAAGGTCATTCACATTGCGAGGAAAGACGGCGATAACCTGGAAAAACTTATGATCACAGGGAAAGTTGAAGGCAACAGATCTAGAGGCCGCAGCCATACTCGTTGGTCCGATCAGATCCGCACCGCTTTGGACAGTACAGTGTACAGCGCGCTGCATGACGCCGTGGACAGGGGAAAGTGGAAAAAGATCCTAAAATTGAAGCTCATGGGTGATGGTGGTCACGACCCTCAGACATGAGGAACGCGACTCGAGGAGGAGGAGTTAAGGTCTCAAATTAATCATCCTTATTTCATTGCATTACACTCCATATTATCATTTTTCATAAAAATAAGAATATAAATTAAAATAAGACATGACTTATAGGTCTTAGTTACCAAGGTCGTAAAATACCTTTAAAAAAATAAAGAGCATGAAACGCGAAAACCATTAACGCTTTACCTTCGGAGGACCTGTATTCAGCGACCCCTCCGGAATGCTTCAGCATGGCGGTAGAGGACGACATCCCGTAGAACAGCTTGACCTTCCTCCCGTCGGGGTGCGTTACGACGTCGCCCCCGCACTGGTCGTGGCCCGCGAACATCCCGCCAGCCATCACGAAGTCGGCCCCCGCTCCGAACGCCTTCGCCACGTCCCCAGGACAGGTGCAGCCTCCGTCCTGACCACGGACAGGACCTATAGTTTTTATAATGATTGCTCTAGATGAGCAGACGCCCTCATCTTGAGACACGAGTCGAAGGTGAATTTGACTGACTCGGCGGTGCAATAGTTAGCGGTCTAGATTGTTGCGCCTAGGGTCGCGGGTTCTATTCCCACATCATGCAAGCAATTGGGTGATGAAGTTTGCTCTATACCTGGATGTTTATTAACCATATCATATGTATAATCTGGTACCCATAACACAAGCAATCCTAATTTGGAGCCGGATTACCGTCCATGATTTGTTCCCGTTAATTTAATAATATTTATTTATACTAGACGATGACCGAGCTTTGCTTGGTTTTTTTTTGATAAGGCAATCTTGTTGTGTCTTTAAAGCGGTTAGTTGCCCTCAATTAAGAAAAATAGTATTATTATTATTCGCCAATAGATGTCGGGAAGAGTCATAAAGTTGATTATCGATAAAGTTGATTATTGAAAACACGAATAAAACAACATTTTCTGAAAATAAATCGTAGCTAGATCGATTTATCGCCTGTATACTAAATTTTATGAAAATCGTTGGAGCCGTTTCCGAGATATTGTAATTGATATACAAGAATTACAATTTAACAATTATAATTATATACAGAATTATATACAAGAATTGCTCGCTTTAAGGTATAAGATTGAACGCGGCAGAAATACGCAGAGGATTTGTCCACGCATGATCCCAAAAAGCCCTAATGATAGTAAATTAAATATTTTCTGTTGGGCTGGCGATTCGATAGTACGATGCTCCAAGTATTTAAATACGGTATTCGATATACGTCGTAAAGTGCCCTTTATGGTGCCAGTAAGAATTATGACAAAAAACATCTAAATGCACCGAAGATTCCAATAATAGCCAAAAAAAGATCTGCTTAAAAAAGAACACTAGATGGGCTTTTAATGAATAAAACATTTGAACATGTTTATCACACCAGAAATTCCTTGTAAATGTGGCGAGATGTATGATTGTCTATTAGAAAATCTCCAAAAGGGAATCCGACGAGTTTTAAATGACAAGACGTTGATTCTTGAAGTTTTCCGAGTATTTGCAGAAACTGCGAAAATCAAGGATCTGACCTTAGGGCTTTAGGGCTTTAGAGCTTTAGGTCTTTAGAGCTTTAGGGTCCAACGAAGGCAGCTTCGCGGCAGAACTAGACAGAATGATGGTACTTAACCGAACGCGCTTATAATACCATTAAATATTTGTGCGCAGAGACCATTTTTTGACGCACCATCTGGTATACCCAACTCTCTTCAACGAATGCACCAAAGATGCCTGTATATTTATTTATAGGCCATAGGTCCACGCATTGGACATCCTGGCCAGTCTCCGAAGTTATCAGCGCTGCTGAGAATCTATATAACTTACGGACTATTGTCAATAGAATAGGGCTGCAAAGTGACACTGATGTACCCAGTTTAAAACTCACCGATATAATATGCCCTTTGAGGCCGTGGGCAGCGTCAGCGCATTCGATGACGGCTGATAACTGCGGGTACCCCACGCCGGTCTTGATACGGGTCGTACAGACCGATCCCGGGCCGATACCGACCTGGAAACATCCGAAATAGCCAAATTGTAAAGTCTAATTCTTTGTCGCGGCTACTGGAATCTGTAAGCCTCACAAGACCCATCTTGAGACATGAGAACGAAGTCAATTGTACGAATAATTAAAATTAGTGCTTAATTCGTTCGTAAGCTTTTTTTTCCTGCCTAAACCTTGGTAGCCTAAGGGGCTATTCCAAAATCGCGCGGATCGGTAGGTGAACTCATGGCGCTCAAGCTGACATAACTGCTAACACTAGCCCTAGCAAGAACATTACTTCGCTGAATCTACCATCGGATCGAAATTGCGACCCACCCGAAAGTTCCGGCGAGAAACTCAATGTAATTCGTAAGCACAAATTAGATGTAATAAGTACATTTCTTTGATACCCATCTGCGGGGTATCCTATTTCTGTTACGAACTAATGGTAGTTAAGCCTCGCTAAACCTTGCCTCTCTATCTACGCTAATCAATAGGTTTGAACTAATGATACTAATTACCTTGATGATATCAGCTCCGGATAGAATCAACTCCTCGACCATTTCACCGGTCACCACGTTACCTGCCTGGAAATAGAAGAAGCAATATACTAGTAACACTAAAGCGGTGTGAATGGCTTTGTGGTGGCTGGAGTAGCACCGCCAAATCTCTTCTCATGGTTACTGGTGGTAGGACGTCTTGTAAGTCCGCGCGGGTGGGTACCACTACCCTGCCTATTTCTGAAGTGAAGCAGTAATTAATGCGTTTCGGTTTGAAGGGTGGGGCAGCTGTTGTTACTATACTGAGACTTTAGAACTCATATTTTAAGATGGGTTGCGGTATTTACGTTGCAGATGTCTATGGGCCAACCACTAAACACCAGGTGGGCTGTGAGCTCGTCCACCCATCTAAGCAATAAAAAAAAATCAGTAACTGTTATGGAATTAATTAATTGATCTGATTACAAATAACGATTATCCAGAGCCATACAAACTAGAAATGAAGTATTTCAAGAAGAAGTTCGGTGTCGATGGTCACTTGCATTACGAAGCTCCACAGTGCACTCATTTATGGTTTACTATACTGAGACCTTAGAACTCATATTTCAAGATGGGTTGCGGCATTCACGTTGCAGATGTCGGCTATGGGCTCCGGTAACCACTTAATCGTATAGCGGATTTCTTGCTGAACCAGCGTCAGTTTGTCAGGATTGCCTTCCTCAATATCTCAAAGATCTTTTCTTCTTCTCCTATATTCGTAATAGGTCGGTTTTTAAGGATGCTCACAATGATTGTATGCTTCGGGAAGGCAGCCCGAACCCTCCGGACGTACTCGACGAAGTGCTGGGAATACCCGTTCGCCACGTCCAGACAGATGAACTTGATGTCGGCGACCGTCTTCAGGATCTCCGTGAGACGCTCGAAGTCGGCCTCCGCGGTGCCAGAGCTCGCGGCTGTCGACAATCACGACAGTGTGCTTGGTGCGAGTTTTTTAACATTCTCAATAGAGTTTTTTTTTCGTACCGAAGCTGAGAAGCCTTGAGAGGCTATATCAGCGTAACCTTAACTAGTAGGTAAGCTAGCGGGGCTCAAACCTGACGACGTTGCTAGCACGAACCCTAACAAGAGCCGTGCTTCGCAGAATCTACCACCGGATCGGAAACGCGACCCACTAAGATCCGGTGAGAAACTCAATGGGCTGTGTCTGAGGGTTAATTTACTCGTCGAACCCTTCGTTGCAAGCGACGGGTTCGACGAGAACGATGACCGGTGCTTGAGGTACCTAAAAGCACCGTTAGTGGATCGGGATCATCGATAGCGTAAAAGTTAACTCAAATTTGTATGGAATTGGAACGTTTGCTTACGTTTACCGCTAGGGGCGCTGTTCCAACTGCATACAAATTTGAGTTAACTTTTACGCTATCGAGAACGTTAAAAACTCGGGCTAAGCACACAGATCACCTCGAGCAAGCTCTGTTTGTTTTTATTGCCTCTGTAGCCAGAGGAGGCAGTTCCACGTGATGGTCGGACCATATTCGGTCTGGACATCAAACTCCACGATGCCCTACACGGGCAAGGATCGCAGCAGATTAAGAACAGTTGTACACGAGATAATGATGCGGCGGGGGAGTCACAACCCTCAGTAAGGATGAGGTGGAGGAGCCAGAACATCTTTTTTTTTGCTGCTTCGATGGGGGGACGAGCTCAAAGCCCACCTGCTGTTAAGTGGTTACTGGAGCCCATATATTTCTACAACGTAAATGCGCCACTCACCTTGAGATAAGTTCTAAGGTATCAGTATAGTTACTACGGCTGCCCCACCCTTCAAACCGAAACGCATTACTGCTTCACGGCAGAAATAGGCAGGGCGGTGGTACTTACCCGTGCGGACTCACAAGAGGTCCAACCACCGGTATTGTCATGAATTAAAATAAAAAATCTGATGTTACTCTCAAATTTTCATCCCTCTATGATCAACCCCTATTTATTAGTTAATTATAAACTTTAATTTATTTGGCAAGATTTTTTTTTTATTTTGTCATGTTTTAAAATAAAAAAAATCATATTACTCTCAATTTTCACTCTTATACGATCAACCTCTATTTTTCCATCGCGATTTAATTCTTTTTTTATTCTATGCACAGATCCGCATTCAGGTAGCAAAATGGCAATCAAATATTATAATTGTAGTACGATAAATTCTTATTCAGAGCTTATAATTTCAAGTTCCTTTAATTATGATTATTTTTAAATTCCATTTGATCTCCCGCCCTCGCCGGTCGATTACTGATCAACTATCAATCGATTTTCTACACTAGAATTTCCCTAGAAATCTTATGTAAGGCAACACAACGTTTGCCGGGTCAGCTAGTTATATATAGTATCCTTCATACAACCACACACACACTCACACACACACACACACACACATCCACACTCACTTTACTGGGCTCGCTATAAAATCAAAGTCAAATCAAACTCCGAAGGACACACAGTAAATGGTAACCACAAACATCAGCTGTACGAGACTACCACTTTAATAAAAAATGAGGCATCGCGGGAAGGCTGCCAGATGTGAAACATTGATATTATTTTGTACAGGTACCTTATAGTACATAAAAGGATCGTTTACAAGACATTCATGTGGCATAATGAAAAATAAAATATTATTAATATTAAAAAACAGTCATTTGCCCACGGCGACGCGTCTCCACATCGTACACACTACTACATATACATTGTATATATGTATAAATAATATATAATATCATATAAAGAGCGAAGCGTCGCCACGGAATGCGTCGCCACGCCAGCAATGGGTTTTACGTGCCGCTATAAAATATATTTTAAACAAAAAAAAACACAATTTCCACTGATCCGATTCGCTTACACAGTATTCAATTTCAAAAATGCATTTATTGATCATGTTAGAAAAATGCGATACTAAATTAAACTCTCACCCATTTGCTCCAAGCATTCTGGATGCGCATCAGAAAACTTCTTCCAGTCCTCGGCCGAGTAGTACTTGTGTATGCAAGTGAAGAGTCCGTGCTGAAATGTGAACCAGATTGATGTGATTCATTTGTCATTTTGCCCTACCTATTCGCTGGTAGCCTAAGAGGGTTTTTTTTTTGCATTACTGCTTCACGGCAGAAATAGGCAAGGTGGTGGTACCTACCCGCGTGGACTTACAAGAGTTCCTACCACCAGTTATTACGCAAATTATAATTTTGCGGGTTTGATTTTTATTACACGATGTTATTCCTTCACGTTAAGTTAACTTCCGTTAAGTACGTATTCATTAGAAAATTGGTACCCGCCTGAGATTCGAACACCGGTGCATCGCTCAGCACATATGCTCCGGACGTCTTATCCTTTTGGGCCACGACGACTTCAATTCCAGCTACGCCCGGACGGGTAGGTGAGCTTCACGGGCTCAACCTGAGAGAATTTTGCAAACACTAGCCCTAGCAAGTCGTCGTTTTCTGAAGTCGTCGTGGCCTAACGGATAAGACGTCCGGTACATTCGTGTTTAGCGATGCACTGGTGTTCGAATCCCGCTGGCGGGTACCAATTTTTGTAATGAAATACGTACTCAACAAATGTTCACGATTGATTTCCACGGTGAAGGAATAACATCGTGTAATAAAAATGAAACCCGCAAAATTATAATTTGCGTAATTACTGGTGGTAAGACCTCTTGTGAGTCCGCACGGGTAGGTACCACCACCCTGCCTATTTCTGCCGTGAAGCAGTAATGCGTTTCGGTTTGAAGGGTGGGGCAGCCGTTGTAACTATAATTGAGACCTTAGAACTTATATCTCAAGGTGGGTGGCGCATTTACGTTGTAGATGTCTATGGGCTCCAGTAACCACTTAACACCAGGTGNATTACTGGTGGTAAGACCTCTTGTGAGTCCGCACGGGTAGGTACCACCACCCTGCCTATTTCTGCCGTGAAGCAGTAATGCGTTTCGGTTTGAAGGGTGGGGCAGCCGTTGTAACTATAATTGAGACCTTAGAACTTATATCTCAAGGTGGGTGGCGCATTTACGTTGTAGATGTCTATGGGCTCCAGTAACCACTTAACACCAGGAGGGCTGTGAGCTCGTCCACTCATCTAAGCAATAAAAAAAAAAAAGCAAGAGCAGTGCTTCGCAGAATCTACCACCGGATCGGAATCGCGACCCACTGAGAAGATTCGGCGAGAAACTCACTGGGCTAAGACGGGTCAGCTCTCGGCTCGTGACGAGACCATCACATTATATTTTTTGTTCAAAAATTCAACCCAAAAGAAAGGTACTCTGATATAATGATGTAATCAGAGTATATTCACCATAGAAAAAGCCCACTGGTTTCTCGCCGGATCATCTCAGTAGGTCGCGTTTCCGATCCGGTGGTAGATTCTGCGAAGCACGGCTCTTGCTAGAGCCAGTGTTAGCAACACTCCCGGTTTGAGCCCCGTGAGCTCACCTATACGTCAAGAAGAAGCTGATATAGCCTCTCAAGGCTATCAGTATAGGTAGAAAAAAAAGTTTTTTACTGGTGGTAGGACCTCTTGTGAGTCCGCGCGGGTAGGTAATAAAAACAAAATGTTTCTTTGCTTTAGCGTCAAGCTGAGCATAGACATTGTAGGGCAAAGGTCAAAGACGAGGCAAATGTCGAATATTGTATACCAATATATTAAATACAACAAACAACAAACAACAATTTTACTGGTGGTAGGACCTCTTGTGAGTCCGCGCGGGTAGGTATGACCACCCTGCCTATTTCTGCCGTGAAGCAGTAATGCGTTTCGGTCTGAAGGGTAGGGCAGCCGTTGTAACTATACTGAGATCTTAGAACTTAAATCTCAAGGTGGGTGGCGCATTTATGTTGTAGATGTCTATGGGCTCCAGTAACCACTTAACACCAGGTGGGCTGTGAGCTCGTCCACCCATCTAAGCAATTAAAAAAATAAAAAAAGTATATGCATACCACATGGCTTAATCTCTGATAGACAAAAGAATACAATAGTTGTTTTGACAATAACAATGAACGACAGGAAACGGAAACTACTGTTTATAATGAATACATATGTATATAAATACATAACATTTTTCCGTTCTAAGAACAACGAGCTTAATATAAACATTATTTGTTTTATTATTATAATGAATACTCTAGTCTAGGTTATCTCTAATACGTTTTAACGAACAACTTCCACTGATTATTTATTTAGTACTACAGTCTTCTTACAGATTAACAGTTAATGATTAAGCTTAATTAGCTTTTTTCAACGAAACGAAAAGCAAATCTGGTGGTAGGACGTCTTGTGAGTCCGTACGTGTAAGTAGGTACCACCACTCTACCTATTTCTGCCGTGAAGCAGTAATGCGTTTCGGTTTGATGGAGCAGTCGCTGTACTATACTGAGACCTTAGAACTTATATCTCAAGGTAGTTGGCAGCATTTACCACCACCACTTAACATCGGGTGGGCCGTGAGCTCGTCCACCCAACTAAGCAATAAAAAGTTATCGTATAGGCGTCCTGTGTGCTTAGTGCGAGTTTATTACGTTCTCGATAGCGCAAAAGTTAACTCAAATTCGTGTGTAGTTGAAACAGCGCCCCTAGCGGCAAACGTAGGCAAACATTCCAACTCCATACAAATTTGAGTTAACTTTTACGCTATCGAGAACGTTAAAACACTCGCACTACGCACACTGGTTCGAAAGCGGGATAGCGAGTGAGCAAAATATTGAATTTGTCTTCACGTCGCGAGCTCTAGCAGTTCTTCCTATTCGTACACTCTTGACAGAGTGGTCGTGGTCATGCATCAGTCGGATCCTGCGATACCGATGCTCTCGCGATGCGACGCCATGTGGCACGATGTTTCGCAGAGTGAGAGCAAGCATTTATGTTGGAGTGAGTAACAGATTTTATGAGGTCGGTCCATCGTGTTGGAGATCGTCCGCGAGATCTTTTGCCCTCGACTTTCCCTTGCACCACCAACCGCTCAATGGAGTCCTCATTACGAGTGATGTGCCCGAAGAATTTGAGGATTCGTAATTGGACTGTTGACGATAGTCTCTCCTTGATGTTGAGCTCTTTCAGGATCGAAATGTTGGTACGGTGCGCGGTCCACGGAATTCTGAGGAGACGTCTCCAACACCACATTTCTAGTGCGTCGATCTTACGACGGTCTTGCATCCTCAGCGTCCACGTCTCAGCCCCATACAGAAAGATTGGAAAGACCAGGCATCTCATTAACCGAACTTTTGTATTTTTGGTTATTCTGCGGTCTCTCCAAATCTTTGTTAGCCTCTCAACTGAGGATCTTGTCACGGCTCTAGCAGTACCGGCAACCATTTAGCTCAGGCCGGGCCTTATTTATCGACTGTCTATATTACTTTAGTCACGAAAGAATATGGGCCCACTGAGTTTCTCGCCGGATCTTCTCAGTGGGTCGCGTTTCCGATCCGGTGGTAGATTCTGCGAAGCACTGCTCTTGCTAGGGTCAGTGTTAGCAACTCTCCGGTTTGAGCCCCGTGAACTCACCTACAAACGTTAGAGCGAAGCTGAAATAGCCTCTCAAGGCTATCAGCATAGGTAGGAAAACAAAAAAATAAGGATCAAAGATCGTAATTTTTTTATTGTAAACGTATCAAATACTTTACAATTTACGTGGTCAGGGACGATTAACGACTTTATTTATTTATTAGCTAACGACGATTCATGAGTATTACGTATTTAAAAAAAAATGCAAACAGCAATTTCTTTTTTGAAATTTATAAATTTCAATAAAGTATTTTGCACCTTTAGAATTGAAGTGACATAACTAAAAATTTTTAGGACGTGAGTCTTATACTTTTAACGACTTATAAACATGTATTCTATCTGTTTATAAAATTAAGCAGTCTCTTTTAGTCTAGAAAAGGACAAACGTATTCTTTCCGTCTCTTTTAAATCAAGCACATACTTTAAAGCATTAAAATCGAAACTAAAAGATTACAATTCTTCAGTTAGGTTTTTTGGCGAATTTTAGATTAAGCCACTTTAATTTTAAAAATGCGATATATCAAATACTATAATGAAATATATGAAATAAATCTAAATCTACAAGAGTTAGGGTCTAATTTCGATCAACAACCAACAATTATTTGCAGTTCACCGGTAAAATCTATATATTAATACGTGAAGCAAAAACGTTGTATCCCTTTTTACGAAAATTGCGCGGACGGAGGAGTATGAAATTTTCCACACTTATAGAGCATATAGAGAAGAAGTGCACAATGCTAATTTTTTTTTTAAATAATGCACAAAAGATACATTAAATCAATAAAGAAAACATTACACACACTACATACCATGTATTTGACGCACACACGCATGCATACTATTTATTGTCAAACTTTTGTTCTTGACGTCTGTTGTCAAATTGAGTATAGATTAAATATTCTTTGTCTTTGTTAATATTTTTTATAGTGTAGTCTTGGCGAAATTTGTGTTTATAGAAGTATAAAATACAATCATAATAGTGTACAAACTTACAATTCCAATTAATTATAGTCGAATTCCGACTACTGCGGGACCTCCAGTTGTAGTAATTATGAACAAAGTTCCCGTTGCCTCAAAATCAAAATCCTATTCATTACCTTCGATAACTCCTGTGCCATTTCGAAGGTGCCTACGGTGTCCATGTTGCTCGCCATTACCGGTACACCTCGGTACGTCTGCCCTGAATTCTTGAACGTGATCTCCCGGTACAAATCGACCTGGAAAGAAAGCAAAATATAATTTATCAATAACTGTGATTCGACAAGATAACGCAGTGAGCTGAGAAATCGGCAAGTATCAAGTTAATATCGCCATGTTTTTTTTTATTGCATAAATGCGCGGTCGAGCTCACGGCCCACCTAGTGTTAAGTGGTTACTGAAGGCCATAGACACCTACAACGTAAATGCGCCACCCAACTTGAGATATAAGTTCTAAGGTCTCAAGTATAGTTACAATGGCTGCCCCGCCCTTCAAACCGAAACGCATTACTGGTTCACGGCAGAAATAGGCAGGCTGGTGGTACCTACCCGCGCGGACTCACAAAAGGTCCTACCACAAGTAAAGTATTAGATGAAATGTCGCTTACACCAAAACGCCTTTCAACGCTCGATATGCTTCGAATAGGTAACTATACTGAGACCTTAGAACTCATATCTCAAGGTTAGTGGCGCATTTACGCTGTAGATGTCTATAAGCTCCAGTAACCACTTAACACCAGGTGGGCTCTGAGCTCGTCCACACGTCTAAACAATAAAAAAAAATCGCTACATTTATCTTTGTAATTAAAGTTGCCTTTTATTTGGTATCAGCATCAACAGTTCGATGTTTTAATTAAACTTCTATTAAATTTACTCCGTTCAAATAACCGAAGTAGTTTTTTTGTTATTTGATATTATTTCCAAATTTTAACCTTTCGATGGCTCTCCTGTGAAGTGACAAAAATGTCGCTAAAACCAAATCGCCTTTCACTGCTCGATATAATTTATATTTTCTTATTTATTTAATAAATTTTGTACACACAGCGGTTAGAAGAAACACGACAATAAGAATACAGAGTACAAGGGCACTACTTATTTCATGTTGAAATCTCTTCCACTAGGCCCGCAGAAGGAAAGAAGAATTAGGGACACAAACCTAGTGCATACAGTAAACATTACATATAATAATTTTCTTTAAGGTTTGCCGCTATGCGTTCCTTGTATCTTCGACCGATTGTAATCAAATTTCGTTTGTAACACAATTTGACAGGCCTCCGATACGCCAGAACTGTCTTTATTGGCCTTCGGACGAATCTGAGACTGGTACGCAGTTTCAAACCCGCTAAATCTCCGAGAAGAACCTCTCATACTATTCGCCAAGAACGTAACTACTATTGATTTAGCCGGTGAGCGTCGAAGAGAATTCCTTTTTAATTATTTTTTTGTTGCTTAAATGGGTGGAGGAGCTCACAGCCCACCTGGTGTTAAGTGGTTACTGGAGGCCATAGACACCTACAACGTAAATGCGCCTCCCACCTTGAGATATAAGTTCTAAGGTCTCAGTATAGTTACAACGGCTGCCCCGCCCTTCAAACCGAATCGCATTACCGCTTAAATAGGCAGGGCGGTGGTACCTACCCGTGCGGACTCTAGAGGTCGTACCACCAGTAAAATTATGAAATATCCACACGGAATATTCGAATTATTTAAGATTACGTAACTGAAAAACAGTAATGTAGTTAAAATGTGAAATGTTTTTGGCCCGGCTCCAATTGTAACAGTCGGTTTATTGAAAATCTGCAGCGAGTGAGAAAAACGAATATTCGGTTATTTTTCTATCCTAGTTTTTTTCCATTGGTTACTTTGATTACGTTATATTATAAATCCGCTTGTACTACCGTCTATTATAATTTGCGTAATTACTGGTGGTAAGACCTTTAGTGAGTCCGCACGGGTAGGTACCATCACCCTGCCTATTTCTGCCGTGAAGCAGTAATGCGTTTCAGTTCGAATGGTAGGGCAGCCGTTGTAGCTATACTTGAGACCTTAGAACTTATATCTCAAGGTGGGTGGCGTATTTACGTCGTAGATGTCTATGGGCTCCGGTAACCACTTAACACCAGGTGGAACGTGAGCTCGTCCACTCATATAAGCAATAAAAAAACAATAGGTACGAAAACAACATTTCGATCGTGTCGTGATAAGAGTCATGATAATATCGGGATAGCTTTTGAAACTGATACTTATAACATTAATTAAACAAATACCAACATTACTAATGGCACGAATAATATCGGCGTTGCAATTATTAGAGGTAGGGCGTATTGTAAGGTTAAAAAATAAAAAGAAGATATAAGGTAAAAGATATAATATTAAAAGTAGTATCTTAGTATAGTTACAACGGCTGCCCCGCCCTTCAAAACGAAACGCATTACTGCTTCACGGTAGAAATAGGCGGAGTGATGGTACCTACCGGTGTGGACTCAAGAGGTCTTACCACCAGTAAATTGTTTGAAGTTCGCAAATCTTCACGATAAAGAAACATAGTATAAAAAAAAATCACTAGTGGCGCACACGCGGGTAGGTACTTCCCTTCCCCCCCTAATATTGTAGCGAAACAGTAATTAGTTCCAATTCAAAAGGTGGAATTGTCGTTATACTACACTATTGAGACCCTAACTTTTTATTTATTATCCTTTTAGGTAGACGAGTATACGGCCCGTCTCATTGTGAGTGGTTTACCTTCACTGATAGACGTCAGCAATGCCAGGGACACAACAAAGTCGCTGCGTAGATAAGACAGGGTGGTCTCAAGTTGGGTATCGGCACTTACGTTGTTGATGTCCACGGGCCGCGGTACCGACCTAACACCAGATGAATTGTGACCTTGTTCTTCTGTCTAAGCATTAAAAAAAAACATTGTCTAGCCGCAGCAAAGAAATATCTTCCATTATTTTTAATAATACTTAGTATTTTCTAATACAATTTTACAAAGTGCCGCTTGTTGGGTCGTTTAGGTTCCTAAGATCCCATGTGGCGCCTCAACAGGACTTCGCCATTGCGACTGGTCTCAGGCTACGCGCTTTACCTCGGGCCAGCTTAGCTAGACTGTCTTCATCCCAGCTACCATCTATAGATCTTGCCCAAGGAGGTCCGTTCCAGGGCTTGCCTTGGTATGTGCTTCCTAAGAATGTGGCCTATCCATGCTCCTATACACCTCCTATAAAAAGTCCTGTACCTACTTGAATTTCCTTGTTCATCGAAATTGCTCCTGAGAGTATGGCCTATCCATGCTCCTATAAATCCAGCCATACAAAGTGCTGTACCCACTTGAATTTCCTTGTTCATTGAAATTGCTCCTGAGAGTATGGCCTATCCATGCTCTTATAAATCCAGCCATATAAAGTGCTGTACCTACTTGAATTTCCTTGTTCATCGGAATTGCTCCTAAGAGTATGGCCTATCCATGCTCTTATAAATCCAGCCATATAAAGTGCTGTACCTACTTGAATTTCCTTGTCATCGGAATTGCTCCTAAGAGTATGGCCTATCCATGCTCTTATAAATCCAGCCATATAAAGTGCTGTACCTACTTGAATTTCTTTGTTCATCGGAATTGCTCCTAAGAGTATGGCCTATCCATGCTCTTATAAATCCAGCCATATAAAGTGCTGTACCTACTTGAATTTCCTTGTTCATCGGAATTGCTCCTAAGAGTATGGCCTATCCATGCTCTTATAAATCCAGCCATATAAAGTGCTGTACCTACTTGAATTTCTTTGTTCATCGAAATTACTCCGGAGAGTAGGCCTATCCATGCTCCTATAAATCCAGCCATACAAAGTGCTGTACCTACTTGAATCATCTTGTTCATCGAAATTACTCCTGAGAGTATGGCCTATCCATGCTCCTATAAATCCAGCCATACAACGTGCTGTACCTAGTTGAATTTCCTAGTTTATCGAAACTTAAGTTGAATTGAAATGGCGCTCGTCAATCGATCCAGATGACCAGAGACTTGGCTGCGGACCAACGCGACGCGGAAGTAGGTCACTCATCTCGCAGCTCGAACAATGTATCGAATAAATCATACAAAATACTAGAATTACCGCTACATTTTACCAAGACGCATTAACTATAGCACAATGATTGATTTCGGTTGTTGTACCTAGAAGAATTTGTAGTATAAAACTGAGACTCAGCATTTATATCTCAAATTCGGTGACTGCGTTTACGTTGTTGATGTCTATGGCCACCGGAAACGACTTAAGACCAGGCCAACCTGGTGACGAATGCGCTGGGCGTCTGGTCCTTTAGGCCATGATGAATACGTTTTACACGATTAATCTTCTTGTGAACCAAGTATCAAGAAAAAATTTAGTCCTAACAATAAAATGGTAAAAAATTGAGGGATACCGTGTAATAGGTAAAATTTGGACGGTGCCATCGCCACACGTCAGCCTCGCAACGCGGAACCTACTGCAATCACTCAAAATAGCCCCTCACGTGACTTTTTCAATGTTAAAACGAAACATTTTGACATTAGAAGGTCGAAGGTCGGACCTAGTTTCTAAATATCTTCAATGACAATCGGTTCGCGGATTCTTTCATTTTTATAAGGGTACTAATCAAGGGTACTAGCTGTACCCGTCCGCTTTGCTGGGATTTATTATTATTTCTCACCCCCACAAAGATTCTTATCATTAACGCCCCCGCAACTGGTGTAGGGAGTCCAACATATAGATATTAGCCTATCCATTAAGTACATGTATTTTCTACATGGATACCAAGTTCAAGTCAATCGGATGTACGGTTCAGTAGTTATAACGGAACATCCGTAAAAAACCACTGTAGATTTATATATTAGTATAGATTTTACTTCAGCCGATATTTTGGGCCGACTGTTGTGAATCTTATCCTATATGAGCTCGTATATATTCCTGATGGATCTTGATCTAATGGAAGACGTAGCTTTGAGATGACGTTGAATTTTCAACGAAAACCAATTATTTCTTTTCTATACTAACACTGGCGTAAACTACGAAGACATGTTGTAATTTTGCGGTTAAATTGACATTTGATGCGTAATGCCCAAATGCCAGCGCCTCTCAAAGCTGCACCAAAGTCGCCAATCAAAAAGTATTCTCCCAACTCCTATCTATGCAAGGCGATGGACCCGGCACCCGCATAATGAGGTCATGTATTGCTAAAATATTCGCCTCTTTCTAAATATGGTCCCTAATGTATACTAAAAGACACAAAAGGACTAGAGTGAAGATCTTGTACTGAACGTCGTAACGTGGGCAAACAACCAATGAGGCGGACCAACGACCTGGTCAAAATAGCTTGTAAGAACTGGATGCGAAAGGCAAAAGACCGAAAACTATGGAGGGCATATGGAGACACCTACACTCAGTGTTGCATGGACATAGATTAAAGAAGAGAGAGATAGAGAGAGAGGACAATGCGGTTTCCCGCACTCCTCGCGTTTTGCATATCCCTTTTCAAAGCATATCACTTTTTTTCATTTTCTGTGGCGTTTGTCCGCTTTGCGTTCCTAAGCCTTTTATCCGATTGTGATTTAACTTCGTATCTGAATTTCATCATGAAAACCTATTATTTTCGGAGAAATTCTCCAACTACCACGATAGGCTTTATCAGAATCACTTCAATTATTATGAAGGGCTTGCTCGAAAATGAAAAAAAACCCTAGACAAGTTTGCATGTCGACACTAGTGATGCTCAGCGAAAAACTCTTCAAAGTCTTGATACTTTAAAACGAAGGAACGAAGAACTGTTATTGCCAACCATTTTTTAGTTTAGCGATTGCATCTGTGTTTAAAAGTTTTATTGGAATGAGTTCGCTTCGTGTTCTACCTAAATAATTTGGAAAGCGCTGTCAATAAAAACAGAAGGACTTCTACAAACATTACGTTTATTGTGCCCTAGTTAGGTAAACTAACTAAAGGCGTTTTGTTCAGTAATAACTGGAGCCCAGAGGCATTTTCTTGTGAAGGCGATCTCTGTAGTATCTCGAGACATATTGGTATGCTACGAATCAGTTAGGACCGTGTCTTTTTTATTTCATGATTTTTTTTCTTTTTTTCTCCATGTCTCTTTGTTATTGCTTAGATGGGTAAACAGGCTTACGGACCGTTTTGTGACGTCATATGTGGCTATGATTCATTCGACGTGTGTTTTGGCCCCAAATAATGCGAATGTTCCGCTCAACAGAGCTTGGTAAATTTCGTTGTGTTTATGCAACATCGTCATTGTTATTGTCGTTTTTTTTTTTGTTTATTGATATCAGAGGTCGGTGCGACTATGAGCACACAAATCACTGTGATCTAAATAAATTAGTTGTGACCACCATAATACCCTTTTTATTATTTACAGATTTAAATTTAAACGCAAAATTCCCGTTTTTGTTACATTCACAATCGTTTTGACAGAATAACCAAGATTAACTAATTTAGTAAAGAGGCGATTAAAAAATAGTCCCAAACTAATGACAATCGAAGTGAAATTTAACCATAACAATAAAAAAACAAATTTTAGACTTACGTCATTCCTGCTTTTTAACGTGCTCCGTTTGGGTCGCAAAAGGACGTCCTTGAAATCCAATTTAACTTCATTTATAATGTTAGGCATTATCTATTAGATTCTTATTCACTAAAATTTTGAGATCGAAAGAAAAGACGCCGTGAAAGAGACGACAATCCTGCCTCCACGCGCGGTATCGACTGCTTAAAATTCACTGGGTTACAAGGGAATAGAAATTGATTAGCCGGTTTATTTGGTTCATGCCTTGCTGTCATGACAACGGGTTCGAATTATGGATTATAAGTATTGGCGTAACTTATTATTTAATTGGCGTAAGTAAAAAGCGCAACTGCGGTTATTACGATTCTCAGGGCCTTTTTATAGTCATGCTTCTTCAGAAAATCAACTTTTTTTTCCTACCTAAGCTGATGGTCTAGAGAGAAAATATCAGCGGAACCTTAACTAATAGGTGAGCTCACGGGGCTCAAAGCTGACAATGTTGCTAACACGAACCCTAGCAAAAGCCATGCTCCGCAGAATCTACCACCGCATCGGATACGCGACCCACTGAGAAGATCCGGCGAGAAACTCAGTGGGCTGTGTCTATGGGTTAATTTACTCGCCGAGCCCTTCGTCGCAAGCGACGGGTTCGACGGGAATGATGACCGGGAAATTAAAAAAAAAATTTAATCGTGATTTTTTATGATGCACACATAATATCATGCACCTAACAAAGTTCAATAGGATGAAGTCAGGGCCGTTATGAAAATGGGGACAAGATAAATTCAAACACGCCTTGAAAAATAAATTTAAGAAAAATAATTCCGCTACGCTCGTTTCATATTGAATGGAAGAGTCATATTTTACATTTAAAGCTACGTGACATTCAATTTGATATAAATGCAATTAAATTTTGAACGGCACAATACATATAAATAATGATTTCAATTAACGCAAAGAATTTTTTGATTCTATTCATTGATTATCAATTATTAATATGATCTGCATCTAAATAGTTCAAGTTTCAAAAACTTCGACCTTAAATTAAAATTCTTTGCGCTATAGGTACGGGAACAAAAAACAAGAATCATTTCGTCAAAATTTCACACGTTAGATTTTCCTGAAAATTTCGTAACCGGCAACACCGGTACTGCAAGCGTGACGCGTGACGTCACAAGGGCGTTCAGAAATATCTGCTTTCAGCTGCCTTATGACTACCGCCTAGGTGAAGGTTATTTTACTTCATTTGCCGTGTCAAAATTACAGTGTTTCCGCTTCAATAAATGCTGTTGCTTTTTTTTTTGTTAATTTAAAAAAACTGACTGAACTAAGTGAAACCGACGGCCGTGTGTTTTTTTCAGCGCCTACAACGCCCACGCTGCACACGAGAGTAAAAATTATACGCACATTGTGCAATAAAATTAAACCAAGGATGTATTTAATAAATAATGACGGGGCATCCATTGGTGGGTGGTCAACTTCGCTATAAGCAGCGCTAGAAGCACAGCTAAGTTACTTTTCACTGGGTGGTGGCGCATATAGTAAGCACGTAATGAGGTATTTTTTCAGCCTTACGTCATCTGCATCTTCCAGTCTTAAAATTGGGATAAACAAATTGCAGACGTTCACTTCATGTCTTAAGGTGAACAGCAATGCGCTTTGTAATGTCTACAGTATTTGAAAATCAATAAACGTCACGATCTAACCGTCTAAGAAATAAAAAAAACATTAACCGATAACCAATCAACGATTCGTTTAGGGAAAAGACAACAACGCTGTATCTATGATTGCCATCATGGAAACTGTCAATACTTTTCGTCGGGTAACCCGTTTGCCTATGGAGACGATCAAAAAAAAAACAAATGGTGTATGCATGCACTATTTCAATAATGGCCGCTTTCATTAACGAACTAATACGGTTCGAATTAATAGGTGAATTAATTAGAATTAAGAGTAGAGAAGATAAGAATTGGAATTAGTAGAATTATAATAAATGGTTCGTCTAATAGAAAACAGTTACAGATATAAAACTAAAACTCCTAATTTTTATGAAAACCGATTTTAACAAAATATTCTCCTTTTTGAACGTTTAATTTTTAACTTAGTTCCTTTTATTACCTACCTGAAATTCAGTATTACGAATGTATCGGATTTATTTCGAAAAATTACATCTAAGCGTGCCCTCGAAATTTCAATTGTGACAGACCGATAATCATGAAATAATTTTAAGATTAATTTAAAAAGACACTGCTCCATAATTAAGCGCGAAAACTACTAATCCTAATTCCGCCCACAGATAAGCTATTAATAAAAAGATGTTCTATGCTGTAGCGTCTCTGTTGGATAGCTAACTCTAAACAAAATTTTGGACCAGATACGCTCCATTCTCAACACTTGCCCCACGTTGGCATAGGCAAGAGTGGCGCAGGATAATCCAAGAGAAAGTTACTAGAAGAGGACACGACCTTCAGCATTATGGAGTATCGACGTAAGCAGGAGAAGATTTGTAAAATAATGAAAATCCGTATAGTCGAAGGAGTTACCGAAAGCTATAGAATTTACTAGGTGATTCCCTAAACGCACATTGAAATATGAACCCTTCAAAATGGAATGCAGGGCGGGTTCATAGAAGAAGCTGTTAAGATTTTACACACTACCCGTGTAGTTGTGGGTCACAATATATACTCTAGCACGAATATAAAGCACACCACACCAGCGAAGTCTTCAGATTGCCCAAATGTATTTCTTTTCAACGAAATTCCTCGCTCTATTTGGTCGGAAGCCAAAAGAGTTCCATATGATTAATTTGTTGCGAAAAAAAACCTGATATTTTTCTAACAGAAGCGTCCCGGTTTGGCGGAAATGATGATTGATGATTTTTATTGTTTTTTTTTTATTATTTTGTATTTTCATTGATGCTAGATGGCAAATGCATCAAAAATCTGAGGTGCCGATCGAAAAGATTCCGGTAAGGAAATGAAATTTATTAATTCACGGTTTTTACGAAAAATGAATATACATAGAATTGCATTGCCTCGTTTTCTCAAGTAAGAACTTTTTCATTCCTTTCGATTAAGATTTAGAGGCGATAAGAGGTAGTCCAAAATGTTTAATTACCGAAAATCTTTCCGGGTTCCTAAAATTCCTAATATTGTGACTTGTGACCGAATTTTATCAGGTTTTACTACTAATGTATCAAGCGATTCAAACCTTACGGTAGGTACGACACCGCTGCCTATTTTTGCCATGAAGAAAATAAACGCTTTCGATGATGTAATAGCCTCTTTACAATACAACTCTTTTCAGAATCTTTGACTGCATATCTCAAAAAAGTGGGTCTCCGAAAGCCATGATCAAAAGTATAATATATTAATACCAAACCGCCCAACTCATCTACTGCATTACGAGTATAACAACACTACGTTATTGAAAAATAGTTAAGTGACAAAATGACGGCCAGAGAAAAAATACACACAGTACGGTACCGTTTAGATAAATCTTACAAATACGCACTGTAGACCAGGTACATTCTCAAATATATTAAGTGTATAATCTATGAGGTACATACATAGATAAAGTAAATTTATAGATTGTTTGCGGAAGATAAACTTGCCAAATTGAAATGACATTGAGACGTTCGCAGCGGAGACATGACGGAAGTATTTATTATCTGTTATGCAATACACTATGGTAGACTGTTGTTTCTTGCAAATTATTGACGACAGACCAGCTCTGAACTTAATATAAAGTTATTACTGGACTTCTTAAGTATTGAGAATTTAAATAGGCTAACAATATATTTAAAGGTTAACAAGGGACATTGACAGGGGAAGATATTTGACCGAGCGAGTGATATTGTTAGGTTAGGTTAGGTTAGGTGCATGGTCAGCCTTTTTAGCCTACCTATTGTCAGTAACCTTGAGGGGTTATATATTATTACATATAAAAAGACTGTGTAATCCTTCATAGCTTTAAAAAACGATCGAAAAACATATAATACGTTACAACGAATGGTTAAAGTACATAATTCGACGCTTGAAAAGCAAACGTGACTAAGCGACAGTAACTGCTTTGTACATAAATGATAGGCAATAACCATATTCGATGCGCAAAAAATATATATTTCTAGGTCTATTAAAATCATTTCAATCTTACAGCTAGATACGTTAAAATAGAATTATTTTCAGGTATTTCTCATGGATATTTTAAATTTATTTCAACTTTAAATTAGTCTACTGTAAAGTTCACGCATTGTCGCTTAGTCACGTTTGCCTTTCAAGCGTCGAATTATGATTTCTTTTGTTTCAGTATAAAACAGCAGACATGGATCTAAGAGAGTTCAATGACCCCAATAGGCGTAATGTCAAAGAATCACATTTGGCGCCAAATTAGCAATTTTTTTTTTATTAAAGTTTAATTCTAAGGAGTTTTGTTTAAAAACAAATGTATATCGAAGGTCAAGAACATTGCCTTATTTCTCAGTGATTAAGGTTGAGATTGTTTTATTTACCTAATGCCAATTAACCTCGAGGGATTATTCTGGCTTCACCGTTGTGTAAAACGTGAAATCTGAATACCTGATACACAACTTTCAACACACGAATTCAATTTAGACTTTGTTCCATTTGCTTTTCTTCTTTTTTAAATATTGAAAAAAAAAAACTCACTTGATGACAACAGTAGTGAAATGAAACGCAAAAGAGGAAATACTATAAAGATTTGTCACGATAAATTCAGAATTAATCCTTTGGATTTGCGTTACTGAAGGCCAGACGCGTGTCATAAAATAAAACAATATTGTGAAGGCGATACCTAATGTTAGTTTTTATAACATATTTTACACGTTAATGTTTTTATTATATTTATAGCTTAGATGGGTGAACGAGCTCATGGCCCACCTGATGTAAAGTGGTTACCGGAGCCCAAAGACATCTACAACGTAAATGCCACCTGATGCCTTGCGATAAGAGTTCTAAGTCTTGACTTTATAGTACAGTGGCTTCCCCACCCTTCAAATCGATACGCATTACTGCTTTGCGGCAGAAATAGGCAGGGTGGTGGTCCCTACCCGTGCGGACTCACAAGACGTCCTATCACCACCACCACCACCCAGTAAACATATTTGCAAAAAGATACATATTACATTCTTTGTAGGTTTTTGTTTGTGGACTATGGCGGTATCTAAATCAAAATCTCTAT